CGCTACTTCGGGTGCCACACAGTACTTCTGCAGTTTGGAGCCATAAAATGTGTCACATCTCAGACAACAAGTGGGATATTGTATCTTCACCCCATGAATACAACAGCTTCCCAAGAATCTCACTGTAATTGCAGAACAGGGCCAGAAATGCAGCTGCATTCCCAGAGCAACCTGGAGAAATTTTTTTCAGCATACCTGATGTTCTGCTTCCCTCTGTAGCTGTGGGTTCAGGCTACCCAGGAGCTGACATAGCAGCATAAGCCCAACTGCTGGCCATATGATGTAACCCTCGCTTTGCAGCTCTATTGGAGTTATCCAAGAGCCAACACTGTAAAATACTAAGTTCCTTTGCTTTTGAAGACAAGGGCATGACAATAATATTCTCAAACATACTTTATAAAGAATTCCTTCTTATTTAAGTCTTTAATGGGTAATAAGACTCTTATTTTTGAGTAGGAGTTTGCAAATACATTATACTAATACCTTCAAGAAAACACTCAAAATCTAATGAAACAATGTATATTTAAAATGAGGCCAGATACTGAGTTTTAAATTTTCTTCAGTACTGCAAGAATGTTGTCCTGTGCTACTAGAACCATAAGTTCATGGAGAAGCCATTGGAAAACAAAGAGCAGTGTGACAGAAAAAGGAAAAGGAAGGAGACAACAGTCAGCATTTCCAACTCCAAAGCTAGTAATTCTTGGTGGTACAGTTTGGAAGGTAACAAGTTACTGGAAGTTGACAGCCATCAATTAACTCCAGGACCGAAGCTCACATACACTGTACTAAATTCACCCTGGGCTTGATAACCATGATGTTAAAGTCCTATGAAAGAAAATAGCCTGTTGAAATCTGATAGTAGTTACATGAAGAGCTACTTGATGATTACTTATCAAACTATTCCCCCAACTCTGTCCTATTTATGTTAGCTCACTAAGGAACTAGAAATGCATCATTTGACACGAATAAGTTAATAGTAACACACCAAACCAGAAAATGTCTGACGTTGCAGATGACATCAGGCGATGGCTTGAAAACACAAGCCCTTGCCACTGAACCTACCTGATCTAATGGCTGACAGACAAGCTCCACATTCCCCTAGCTTGATCACAGCTTCCTGAACAACTCCACTGACAGACAGCAAGAAGGTCTATGGAACCTTCCCCCTATACTGATGGTATTTGGTCTTGAAACTGTTTATGAATTGACCTAACACCAAGGAAATCCATCTGCAAGATGTGAAGACAGACACCCTTCTACACAGCAGACACCCATAACAGAGCAAAAAAGGTTTCTTGCAGGATCCCTCAGTGCTGAGGTATACACATGCTTACTTTCTTAAACTCATATTTGGACAGCTGTAGTGTTCTGTCCCTTGGGAGATAAAACTATCACCTAAAGTAATAGTTCATATGCTCAATTTACAATTGCTAGGATAACTGACCTATGTAGGGGAAGCTAAATAAAACCACTCAGAACACTTGAGATTTAAGAGACAAATGTTCTGACAATCTTATAATGGATAATAGGGTACAGCTACTTACTCGTCTTTTCTGATCATTTCTTGAGGTCTTATGTCACTGAAAACCATGACAGAACCTTTCTTTAGGCTTCCTTCCCAGCAAGCTTATGCACTTTCTCTTTTCAGCCACTGACACCAGTCATGTAAAACAAGGCAGTATTTCATAGAATCATAGAATGGTTTGGGTTGGAAGGGACTCCCTCTTAAGGCAAGCTTAAGAAAGAACCAGTTTGAAGACCAGTTAGAAAGCCCTTTGAACCTTAAGATCCTGAACTGATGCATTAGACTCCAAAAAGCCAGTCTTTTATTCCTGTTAGTTTGTACAACTGAGTTGGCCAGCACTGCTTTTATAAACACACACACACCACCTGCACAGTAACTCTGCAGAGGAAGTTAGTGCCATGAGGCAGCATAGAAAGAGACATTCCCTAGGCAGTAACAAAAAGACTCCTCACCACACAGCAGTTTATAACATCCTTAAAAACACACAGGACTAGTGGAGAAGAAACCAAACATTTCCAGAAAAGCCTGCTTCCAAAGATGGAGAATACTGCATTTCTAATTGGAATAACTGGAACATAGCAGGTGCCTTTATTGCAAGACACCTCTAAAGAAGGTGGTCGAGCACCCAGGATGATGCTATTTGTACTGAACTAATAGCTCAGCTATTCCAATGCAACACAGTATGCACACATAAAGAAAGGATACCCATTACCCCATCAAGGCACCCATTCAGGTATCCAGCTCTTAATGGTGTATGACAAAATGATTTTACATCCAAGACATTAAGATTCCTCAATAAAGAGAAAATGTTCAGCGAGAAAATAATACAGCTGGAGTGCTCCTTGCATGTATTTTAAACGTAAGATTTGCTAAGGCAAGCATTTATTTTAATATCAATGCTCAAGGCCTGTTTGCTTTGCTTTCCCAGTCCTACCTTTTTTTAAAATCACAGCCACAAAGTAACTGAAGAGAAAAAGAAGACAACCTATAAAAGAACTCATAATTCTAGTACAACATTCTGCTATATTAGTTTAATTTCTTGTTTAAAATTTACCACTCTAGAGAGAAAATAATGTGCCTAAATACCAAGTAGAAACTCTTTAAGGAAGGATGTAATGTCAGCTGTATTTACCTTTAATTATCAAAAAGTACTTTACAGTATTGACTCAGATACTTCAGACTGCAAGGATTAACACATTTCAGTGTAACACACACACACCCCCCCACACACCCTCCTTCTACCCCTTGCATAGAAAAACCTGTCACCTACAGACTACGCAGAACTATGCTTGCTA